CACCCGATCATCGCCCTTCGAATTCCCTTACACGCTGGTCGGTTTTATATACCGGCGACGAGCTTATAAACCCGAGCTCTTGGCAACGCCGGTCACTCTCTTTCTCTCTTTTGGGCTCTCGACTCACGTTCACCGTCTCTCCGCTGGCGCATCTTTGGTACCCAAATAACGTTTTCCCCTTCGGCGGAGCAATCCGATGAAACATGCCCGCCAGGAGCGATAATGAACCGCGATACTCGAGCCAGCCATCAAAACAGGCTTCGCCGGCGGGGCTGGAAATCCGTTCGAAATAGCACGCGCGGATCACTCTGGAGTCAGGTAATTTTCTGGAGTGCGCCCCGCACGCGTCGTAATGTAATAAGCGCAAAGGGGAGACGAATCTGCTTATTTGCGAAAAATGAATTTACCCGCGTTACTCGTGCCATGCCGGTAGAGAGAATAAGAGAAGCGGGACGTTCAGAGCTGAGATCCTCTCGTTGTCTGATGTTCCGACCGGCTAGTAGGAAAATATCCCTCTCTCTCTCTCTTTCTCTCATTTGCGTGAAAGTGCCGCCTCGTCAAAGTGCATAAATTCGCGTGATTGCGCGCCCAGGTCGATGTAACGGTCTTCCGCACGTACGGCGTGCCGATTTTATTTAGGAATGCTCTTTCCTCTTTCGAATCCGTTTCAATTTTGCTGACGGACACTCCCTCCGGTATAACGTATTTGGTCGAACGAAAAGCGCGTTACCTATTCAACGTAATGAATAAAACTCCATGGTCGGCTAATGGAACGAAATGGAATGTATACGCGCTGTCATAATTATTCCAGAAATCTTTTTAATACGGTGCGCTACCTCGTTTTTCGAGAGCTGCGTCTACAGTCCGTACGTGAAACGCTCTAACGTTAAATTATATTCGTTCCCGTCTCCTGGCCATCGAAAATGCCATCTTCTCTAATTAATTGTTAAATTCGTATCGATACTGTTTCATTTATTACATATTTTGTTGTCTAAATAAAGTTATAAGTACTCTGGCTTTTTGTAAAACGAGTGCGCATTCATGTTATTCTCTTTTTTCGCGAATGCTCACATTTGCAGCGCTCTTTAACGTGCTTCAATAAATGCGTCTCGTTTTACGTGCCGGTCTGCGTACGCGCATAGAATTTTTTCTTAAAGTTTATCCTGAAAATCACGCAATCGTGGAACAACATGGCATTTCGAACAATTTTATGTGAGAGTTGTTTGAAATTTTACTATACATTCTCCTATAAGAATACAATTTCAAAAAACTTTCATAAAATTCTTCGAAATACCACGTTGTCCCACGATTTTCAGGATAAATTTTAAAAGAAATTTCTCTCCGTGTAGTTTATGTTGGCAGCAACATTTCTACACGCAGAGAATTTTCTCTTAAAGTTTACCTTAAAAATCATGTTGTCTCGAGACAACATGGAATTTTGAAGAACTGTACGGAAGTTTTTTTGAAATTTTACCATACATTTTACTAGTAAAATGTACACTAATGTGAGTATAATTACTCGTAAAATGTATGGTAAAATTCCAAAAAATTCTTACACAAAATTCTTCGAAATGCCACGTTGTCCCACGATTTTCAGGATCAATTTTAAAAGAAAATTCTCTCCGTGTAGTTTATGTTGGCAGCAACAATTCTACACGCAGAGAATTTTCTCTTAAAGTTTACCCTGAAAATCATGTTATCTCGAGACAACATGGCATTTTGAAGAATTGTATGGGAGTTCCTTGCAATTTTACCATACATTTTACTAGGAAAATGTACACTAACTACAAGTACAATTACTCGTAAAATGTATGGTAAAATGTGAAAAAAAGTCACAGAAAATTCTTCGAAATGCCACGTAGTCTCACGATTACATGATTTTCAGGGTAAGTTTTAAGAAGATTTTCTCTCCGCGTGTGAACCATTGCTGTCTATTCACGCATGCATGCGTTAGAACTATATTATATCCTCTCCAGTGACTTTGGACGTAAAGCACGAAAAGCTCAAACGAGTTTTATGGCGACCTATCTTCATGCACCACCTACGCGCCCACCGCGCGCAAGGTAGCATCGACATGTCGATACTACCTGCTGTTACTATCGAATCTCTCGCGTCTTCCCGCCGCACGGTATATCGCTCCCGGCTGCCACTGCCGCGAGATAAACCTCTGGAAATTGGATTTACATGACGCGGATTAGGATAACCGAATCTGATAGGCCGACTCTCTCCCTGTCTGCCGCATCATTGGAAATGTATTCCGGGTTCTCCGGCGCGGCCGCACTATCGAACGTGTAAAATACGAAAACGAGAAGATACAGACGTCGCGGAGGAATTCGCCGGCGCTTTATTATCTCGCGCGTCTGCGCGGAGCTAATAGCGTTATAGTGAATCAAGATTCCGTAGATTTTGTACCGCAGATACGCGACCGCGGTCGAAAATCGCAGGTCCCATTGTTTTCCGATTACATCGGTATATCATTGTTCAGTTTCCTAAAATTTCTCGTTTTTTTCCCCTCTCTGAACCTCGCACTGAAACTGCGTTACGCGAACGTCGAATAACATGAGACGTTTCGCTGAGGCATAAAGATTTTTGTAGGGAAAACTGTATCCTTATTATTAGATACATTCGCCCAAAGCGACTACAACGGCAACTTGCTTTATCGCTCGCAAACTCGGTAACTCGGTAATTCCCTAACTTTTATAGGGCCGACGCTCGCAAGCTGTTACATGTGGCTGCGCCGCGCCGTGTTCCTTGACAATCAACTTTATCGCGATATGACATTATCCCCCGTTGCAATTCCGGGGCGGAATACGGGCGCACACAGGATTCCTCGACAAATTACTCGGGTCCGCCAAGACTCGGCGTAAGCCGAGACGGCGGAAAGGCATCCGCGGGCGTGCTTGCAGCGGCAACCGGAGTCCAGCGTCCACTTAAGAACCACCCCCGGGAATTATTCAACATTAATCGAAACTTACGGAATTCCAGATTATCCATCGCGTCGCCGCCGCCGCCGCCGCCGCCGTCGTTGCCGGATATTCGGAATTTCAAATGGACCGTGACTTACGAATATTCAACAGGCACTTGGCGCACTCGACGCGAAAGCACTCGCATGCGATACCGTTTAGACAATCGCGCTGCGCCTCCGGACACCGGCATTTACGTCGCGGAATCCGATTTCGTGCGCGCGGATACTCTTGGCGAAGAAAAACGGATCGGCACTCTTACTTCCCGCCACGTTCACGAGCAGCGGATTACGATTCGCGCGTCGGCGCGAAAAATGATATTTTTGCGTCGACTGTTGTGGCAAGATAATGAAAGAAATAAGCAACGCGAGGGTAAGAAAGAGCGAAAGTACATTGTATGGATGCAATCTCGATACACTTGCGTTAACAAAAAAGCTCGCGCGACCGCGGATAATACCGCGGATAATAGTTGATTTATGGTCAGATCATATACTCCATCGAACTTTAGGGACACATTAAACTTTTATAACGTTCTCAAAAGTATAACGGCCTTTCGTGATGCTACCGTGCGCGCGCGCGAGAACGATCCGCACTCTACTTTGTCGGTAAATCTTCTTCGAGCGGTGAGGTTTTCGAGTCGAGGCTCTATCCATCAACGTCGCGCGGTGCACACGGCATCCATTTTACCTAATATCCACTGGCGTAATCCGTTTTATTTCATATCAGCCCGAGCTACCCGCTTAACCGTAGCAGAAATCATTTTTTCCCCCCTCGCGAGGCGACTGCGACGCGGTCGCAGTTAATCACACAAATTCGACGATCAATATATGAATCGATCGCGGGTGGGCGCGGATTTTACGGCGCGATCTCCATCGACCCCAATTTTGCTGCTCGGGGAGCAGCGAGTAAGGGCCCGGCATTCCGTGACGACGAAATTCCTTTCCTGTCAGGTCGTCGTCCGTGAATTTACGACCACGAAAAGTAGTCAGCCCTGAAAAATGCTATCCGCGGTCAAAAATTTACGGGCATGCGATGCGGTTGTTCAGGAGGTGAAAAAGCAGCCCGGAGAGGCGGAATAGGAATTTTGCCGTTGCGAAATATGTGTACTGCGCTTCCCCTTTCACGCCGACGAGACACTCACGCGCGTAATACGTATGATAAATTTCTCCGGAGCCGGCTTATTCACTGTGTGCAATCCGTACCGTCACCCAGGTTATTTATTAATAAACAATTCTTTCGATCAACTGCAGCTACGTTACTGAACGCGTAGCACAACTGCTCGCGTACACGGAGACAATTTTTCCTTAAAGTTTGTCCTGGAAATCATGTAATCGTGGGACAACACGATATCTCGAAGAATTTTACAAGTCTTTTGAAAGTTTACCATACATTCTACTAGTAATTATACTCGGTATACATTTTATTAGTAAAATGTATGGTAAGATTTCAAAAAAACTCTCATACAGTTCTTCAAAGTGCCACTTGTGCCACTTGTCCTACGATTACATGACTTCCAAGGTAAATTTTAAGAGAAAACTCTTTGTCCTGAAGATCATGTAATCGTGGGACAACACGGCATCTCGAAGGATTTTATGAGAGTTTTTTCAAATTGTATCATACATTCTACTAGTAATTATACTTGGCATACATTTTACTAGTAGAATGTATAGTAAAATTTCAAGAAGCTCTCATAAAGGTCTTCAAAATGCTATGTTGTCCCACGATTACGTGATTTTCAGAGTAAATTGTAAGAGAAAATTCTCTCGCAGACAGAATTTTTTGAGAGTTTGGCCTTGGGGGAGATTTTTTTCTTAAAGTTTATCCTGAAGTTTGTACATTTTACTAGTAGAATGTATGGTAAAGTTTCAGGAAACTTTGATAAAGGTCTTCAAAATGCCATGTTATCCCACGATTACGTGATTTTCAGGGTAAATTTTAAGAGAAAATTCTCCCCGTGTACAGTTTCACATATTCATTCACGCTCAGAATAATTGCAACAACGCCGAGTGATTTTCAATGTGTTTCTTCGGTTTACAGGTGTTTTCGCAAATCGACATACTCTTTAGTATTGGCGGCAAGTACTACATAGGCGAGCCCATCACCTACACGTACATGGAAGACAAGATCTTCGAGACTTCTCGGAACATCACGATCAAGCTTCATCACCGAGTTGGAAAATTCGTTAAGCTGAGGCTCCATTTCTCGGATCGGTGGATCATGGTCAGCGAAGTAACCTTCGATTCTGGTGAGACAATTAATTGTGAAATATATATTGCTCGTTTTTCATAAAAATACCAGTACACGGCACCTTTCCCTGCAGGTCTTTGCGATAAACGTATTCGAAACAGCCACGGTTATTAAACAATTTCTCATCGGTTGTGGAATCTTTGTTTTTACAAGAGTTTAATTTCAATATTGAAGAGGATTAATATTACATAGAGAAAGATGAAACTTTTCTCTTAAAAAAAAAACAACAATTCTCCCTCGCTGTCTCTAAATACAAGAAAACCTTTTTAAAGGGGCGATAATTTTCCGTCTTTCTAGTTTTAAGGAAGAAATAATAACGTCTAATGAAATCGTCAAAACGTAAGACGCGTACCAATTTAGAAAATTGTGCATTACCTTTGAGCGCAAAGTCAGCAAAAACGAGCCAAGTTTGCCCTTAAGGAATTTATGAAACTTTATTTCCGCAGTCCGCTCACGCGCGCCAACGTTTGATACAAACGTACAGTTTAAATTCAATGTTTCGAAATCTCCATAATCGTGATCGGGGCAACTAGGGCAATAGAAATTTATTCGTTCGATGTTTCACGAGCGCGCGGGGGAGGAAGAATGACCGAGTCAAAAAGAGACGCCGCGACCCGTCATTTAATTTCACTGAATCTATCATCTCTCGTCCGTCCGTGCCGTGACAGCTCCCAGCAGGACGTGCCGGTCGAAATTCCGGAATACATTAAAACCCTCGAACGAGGATATATTTCCACGCGCTGATCCGCGCGCTATAACGGACGAAAAACAATGGCCGGGGGGGAAAAAAGGGCCGCGGGACGTCGCATCGCCGCGCGGGCGGAAATTCTAGGGACGAAAATTTCTGCTCGTGACGCGAAATCGTTTCGTGATACAAGCCTTCACCGTAGTCGGGAAGGGACGGCCGATGTGGAATGTATTTCTCTTTGCGATTCTGCCATTTCATTCCAATTCGGCACAGCCGAACCACCGTAACCCTCTCCCCTCTCCGTCTTTGCTGCCTCGCTTCGCTACCGATTGCCGCCCCCTCCCCCTGTCAATCATCGAAAAAATAAATCTCCAAGTTGATTTAAACCGATACGTGCGGTAATTGACAATGGCTTATCGTATATCTGCCAGGCAGCGATTTCAAAGCGGACGGTGCTCTTTCGGGGGTGGAGAGAGAGCACGCGAGCGAGAGGAGGAGAGAGTGAAGCGTGCAAATAATCTATATCGTGCCTCCTTACGCGGCGTCTCTCCGGTTTTGACATGGTGCGTACGGAAAAATCGACCGTGATTCGATTTGTCGTTCGCTTGATAGAAATCGACTTCCCTACTCCTCCTCCTCCTCGCGATCGGCTTCCGAATGGGGGAGAGGAGGAAATGCCGCGCGTGAACGTTAGACAGAGGGACGGCGCTTTATCAGAGTAGATATAAATCGCAGGATATGTTTCCATATCGAGTGCGCGCGATTCTGCGAAAGCGACTTTCGCCTCGTTCCACCGTTCTCGCATTCCGTCTGATTTAACACGGATTCGATAGGAATCGCATCTTACGAGGAGTTCATTCGCATTTACAGCGCGACTGCCGAATAAAAAGGACTTATAATCAGGATGTGGAGTAGCAGGAGTGCGGGGGACGACAAATCCTAAATTGCGCCACGTAGAGATCGCGTAGCAGCCGTCTGTTTGCGCAATAATGTCAGCATTGTGGAACAACATCGCAAAACCATCGCGTGTAACAATGCATATATAATACGTCGCTCATTGTCCCAAACGATCTCAAAGTGAAATTCTGGGGCAGCTTGAATAATAGAACCGCGGGAGTGAAACTGTTAAAACAAGGCAATCGGGTCATGATATTTCTACCTTTGAAATAATTGAATATGAGCGAACTGCGCACTCGGTATCAATTTACATATCACTTACATTCGCCAATTGAGAAGTCGCAAAATGTAAAAGAAAATAATATCCACTGCTGGGTCACCAAGCAATTACGCCGCGAAACCGCCAACTCATCCCCTGTCCCTTCGAGTCTCTCGGTCACAAGGCACTTTTTGTGAAAAAAGCAAAGTCTCCCCGCGAACGAACGGAACAAACGGCCGCGACTAAAAGTCCGCATTTACCAGTCATATTTATAACCCCGCTGAAAAACTCTATCGAAATCAATCTAGAAAGACACGGTTCAATAAATGAAACTTAAAGCTCGATTTGATATTCGATACATTCGCGATCCAATTTAGCAATTCAGGTGAAATTTATTCCGCGAGCGTGAATTTTATTCCGCGCGGCTCGGCATCCGATTCTTGAGACAATCTCGGTACGTGTATATAAATAGTTTTGAACCCTACGAATCAATGATCAATACGCTCTCGATGTATGTTTCTCATCACATTAACTTATATATATGTGATATTCTATGCGTAGCGTTTTTGGTCTTATACACTTGCTCCAATCTTCATTTTACAGAGGAAAGTCCTCTATCATGAGACAGCAGATTTTCAACACCCAAATTTAATTACAAATCTTGTTTTCGCAACGATTACACAATCTGACAATGAATTTTCCACTAAACAGGTTTCGCTCCAAGGGTAATAAATTCATGGTGGAATTAACTGACGATGCCTATTAATTGAACAGAAACCCCGCTATTAGGATCCTATCTCATAATACGGGGACTTTCCTCTACCTAATTTCTGCAGGTAGGCTTTGTAGCGACAACTTCTGTCGGTGCCACACCTTTCGCTTGCGATCTCTCAATCGTTACGTACCCTTTCACTGTATCTAATTTTGCGGCAACAAATTCAATTACAATCAATTAAAATGCAATTCAATTCAATAAATAGTGCAGTAGCGTAAATTGTCGTACTAAAACGATATAGATGTGATAAATATACGTGGAAAAATTGCCAAAGCGCCGTTCGCTGAATCCGATTTGTAAAAACGCATTGCCGAAGCACCGTTTGTCGAATCTGATCTATAAAAACGCGTACCTACGGTAATTCTACGAGCGATGCCGCGTATTATGATACATAGAAAACGCGCGCGGCGGAAACGCGACACAAAGCTGGGAGATCGCGATCATCCCTCATCCTTTTAAGTCACCCCTCAATTTCCCCTGACAAAAGAAGGGCTTTTGCGCGGAAACGCACGGGAAGCTTTCGCGCAGGTGAGCAAGTCATCGAACGGCAATGACGGTACGAAATTTTCGACGCGAAAATCCGATACATCGTTCGTGACAGGGGTAACTTTAACGGCTTTTATATCGCCGAAAACCTCCATTTATGACCGGCCACTAATGACACGGAGCTCGCCTTTTCCGTCCCATTCGCGCGTGGAATTCTCTGGTCTGGGAAAAAAAAGACAGTCAGCAACCCATTTTGGGGCCCACAATTAGTAATGGAATTATTTGGATTGTTCGTAACTCTTTTACGAATTTTACCCCGCGTAACTAAAAATCGCAATTAGCTATTCTATATCGATGTCCAAGAATCTCTTAATTAGTTCTGTCGATATTCAGTGACGCGAAGATAATTTTTACTTAAGAGGCGCTAACCGAAATGTTAAGTTGCTTAACTACAAAGAAAAGGTCAAAATTTTTCCCAGCATAGAGTGTTACGAACAATCCAAATGATTCGATTACTAATTATGAGCCCCGAGATGGGTTGCTCACTGCGTGACTGTGTGTATGGACAACGTAACGACAATGTGCGAGCTTGATCTAATCCATTTTAAACGGTCCACCAAGTCCGCGGAACTTTTACTCTGTTGGGGAAAAAGATTTTGCTCTAGAATAAATTACGAATAATGTGATTGCGAGGGCAAGAAATCCAGATTGATACAACCGTCGAAAGAAGATGCTTTTCTTCGCCTGTCTGAGTCTTCCCGAAATAAGAGCGCTCGTTAATCAGGAGAATTCTACTCGCACGTAATATATATTTATACTATATATAAATAATATGTCTAAAGAGATTGCGTACTAATGGCATTTTTCGAGCGGAAGTAAAATTAACCGAGGGAGAGAAGGTGACTAAAATTCAGAAATTCTGAGGAAACCGTAATCTTCGCATTGTAATGAGAAATTACGCGACGAACTAATGGGAGATAAGAACATCCCCGCTCTTATTCAAGGTATTTACGTACAAAGGGTCGTTTGTCGAGGGGACTTAGCGACGTAGCGACGAGATCATAAAGCGGGCACGAAACTCTTTGCCCGTTTCCTTCTGCTCCGCACTCTTTTTCCACGTCAAAGGATATATGCAAAAATGCATGCCAGACGACGCTTTCGCGGGCGCATAAAATGCATTGCAAATCGCAATAAGAACAACGAGGTTAACATGCAAAATGCCATTCGGCAGTTGCCGGCGCGGTCATTACGATAATTTAATTATCGATCGATCCTAGAGACGCGCGTGTTAGACTACTGTACACCGCGTTGTTTGCCTACAACAGAAATCGCTTTATAATTAAGAAGAAACTTGCCGAGACCGCCGTGCGGGAAACAAATAAATAACGCAAGCTCGTCGCGATAACGAACAGACGGACAATCAATATTAATTTAGTTACACTTCGCAATCGCGAATTGTCATCGACTGTGCTTGATAGCAATAAATCTCGTGTATCTATAAACACAAAGGAAACAGGAATCACCCCCCCCCCTCGCTCTCTCTTCAATTGATGTTCCGTTACAATACTGTTGTACTCATGCACCCTCGTCTTAAGATCTAATTAGTACTTTCACATCCTAGTAGGGTGTTGTAATTAGTCAATTGTAATCTGCAACATCTTCCTGTACATTATCTTTGTTCTTATATTCCATACATTTTTCTACATCCCAATTTTTTATTATACTTTTTTCTACATTCAAATTGTTGATTATACAAAAGTTCTTTCTCGCTCGTAATTAGTTTTTCTGTGTAGCTCGTAACGCTTTAGCTGACTTGTTCCAGAGCGTTTAATAAATAAAGATTCGATTCTATTTTCTCTTTTTCTCTCGCTCGACATTTAATAGTGGACACGC